GTCGTGTTCCTCCTCATCCTCGTCGACGTCGTCGTCGTCGTGCTCGTCGTGCTCCTCTTCATCCTCGTCGAGGTCGTCGCCGTCGACGTCGTCGAGGCTGTCGTTGTCGTCGTCGTCGAGGTCGTCTTCGTCGCCGTGTTCCTACTCATCCTCGTCAACCTCCTCCATCCCTCATCCTCCATCCCTCCTCCTCCTCCTGGATCCTCCGCCTCCTCCCCCTCCTCCTCCTTCTCCTCGTCCTCCTCCTCCTCCTCCTCCTCCTCCTCCCTCTCTCCCCTCTCCTCCTCCTCTTCCTCCTTCTCCTCCTCGTCCTCCTCCTCCTCCCCTTTCATCCTGACTCTGAACGTCCGACTGCCCATCATGACTCCTCCTGCAGCTGGCCTCATGGCTTGCCGCACGGTCACCGTCGGGTACCTGCCTTTGTTCGCCTTGTATGTCTCTGAGAAGATCTGGCTGAATATTTTGTCCCACACTGCCTGGGGGTGAATGGAGGAGATAAGGGCGAGGTCGGATGATGATCGGCAACCTCATCATTATCACTATGCTGGTCATCATCACGCATGATCCGCATCCTCATCCTCACGAGGCTCATCCTTATCTGTATATATTGGTCCTCATCCTCATCGTCATCCTCAGATTGGTCCTCACCCGAATCCTCATCATCATCAATATCATCATCCTGGTCCTCAACCTGATCATCATCCTCATCCTGGTCCTCCCCCGAATCCTCATCCTCATCCTCATGAGGCTCACCATCTTCATCATCCTGGCCCTCATCCTGATCACATCCTGGTACTCACCCGAGTCCTCATCCTCATCCTCATCATGAGGCTCATCCGCATCCTCATCCTGGTCCTCATCCTAGCTGTCCCTTGCTCTCGAGATCTCTGGATCAAGCAGACGACGACGACGACGACGGCGACGGCGACGGCAACGGCGACGGCGACGACGGCGACGGCGACGGTGACGGCGACGGCGACGGCGGCAGCGGCGGCGGCGGCGGCGACAGCGGCGACGAGGAGGACGACGAGGACGACGACGGCGACGAGGACGACGAAGACGACGACGGCGACGACGACGAACGACGACTCCCTCCCGATGCCGCCTCCATGTTCTTCTGGCTGATGCGCTTGTAGTTCATCTGCTCTGCCATGGCCGTCAAGGTGGGGATGAACACCTCCCCTGATCTCTTCACCCCTCACCCTTCATACTCATCCTAGCTCCTGGAACTCACCGAAATCACATGCATCCCCCACCCATGTCCTCATCCCCGTTGCCATCCATCCTCCTTCTATCTTCAACCTGCACGGTTTCCCATCGATCATCCCTCCGTCGATCTATCCATCCCTCCCCCCATCGTCTAGCGTTACCATCCCTCCGTCTATCCATCCCTCCATCGATCATCCCTCCGCCTATCCATCCATCCCTCCATCGCTACCATGACTCCGTCTACCCATCCATCCCTCCGTTCATCCCTTCATCCCTAGCTCCCTCCATCCCTCCATCGTCATCCTCATCGTTACCACCGCCGATCCCCCCCATCCTCCCTAATCCGTCTCCCTCGCTCTCTCCGCCTCGGTTCTCCCTCCCCCCTCCCTTCGCTCCCCCCGCAGCCCCTCCTCCAATTCTCCAAGTTGCGGCCGAGCGCCGCTGTCCTTGCACGGGTACTTCCCCCAGTGGGGGATCATGTCATATCCTGCCGGAGCGGCCCCCCGCAAGATCGGGATCGGGGTTTGCGCGAGGAGCTAGAGATGGGGATCGGGAGTGCGGGAACGTAGGAGTGAGGCGAATGAGGACCAAGAGGCGAGGGAGGGGGAGGAATCAAGAGGCGAGTGAGGCGAGTGAGGATCAAGAGGCGAGTGAGGCGAGTGGGGATCAAGAGGCGAGCTCGTGAGGCGAGTGAGTATCAAGAGGCAAGTCCTTGTCCTCGTCCTCGTCCTCCTCGTCCTCGCATCCTCATTGATCCTCATCCTTGTCCTCATCCTCGCTCCACTCCTCCTCTCCCTACCTTCCCTCCTCATCCCAGCCGCGCGGCGCCGTGTCCTGGCACCTTCTCCTGGCCATCGCTGATGGTGTTGCGGATGGCCTGACGAGGGAGGGATGACACAACGATGATGCACGGAGGAAGGGAGGGAGAGAGGACACAACGATGCTGGTGACGAGGTTACCTCCTCGAATCCTCCCCTTCCCACTCCAAGCTCACATTGTTCTTCCTGATCCTCCTCCCTCTCAGCAGCCCCCAAACATGTGTCCGACTTTCATATATAAATCCTCCCCGATCCTCCACCTCCTCCTCCTCCTCCTTGATCCTCCTCCTCCTCCTCCTCCTCCTCGATCCTCCTCCTCCTCCTCCTCCTCCTCCTCCTCCTCCTCCTCCTCCCCCATCCTCTCCCTCCAAACACATGCGGCGGCGCCACGCCTCGGCCATCGCATCGACATCTATGTCGGCGGTCTTGCAGTGGCGCAGCTTCGCGTGCGCCATGGACGTCCAGATCTTCCTCTCCTTCTCAATCGCCTGGCGTGGGGAGGGTGTGTGGAAGAGACCCCTCCCCCAAAACAAACAGAACAAAAGGCACAAGAGAGGTTGATGTTGGAGATCCATTTTGTGATTGTTTCGTGTGTTTTTTCCTGAACTCTCTCTCTCCCTCTCTCTCTATGTATGTGGCCTTCACAAACTCCACGTGTTGGCGGTATCGAGCAACGAACTCCCGACGCCAACGCCTGCACAAACACCTTGGGGCCATGTCGCCAACCTGCGCCCGCGGGTGGTTCGACATCACGATCGGTTTGGGGACCTCCTCAAATACCAGGAGGAGGCTCGAGGAGGAGGAGGAGGAGGACGAGGACGACGAGGACGAGGGGACCGACGACCGAAGGGGTGGGGGCGGGAAGGAGGAGGGGGAAGGATGAAATTATAAGAGGCTGGGGGGGAGGGGGCCGAGGAGAGCCGATGGGGAAGAGGAGGGGGAAACATTAAACAGAGGAGGATCGAGGCCTCGAGGGCGAGGAGGAGGAGGAGGAGGAGGAGGAGGGGGGAGGAGGAGGAGGAGGAGGAGGAGGAGGAGGAGGAGGAGGAGGAGGAGGAGGAGGAGGAGGGGGGTAGGAGGGGCCGAGGAGGGCCGACGTCCTCGGCCGACCACGCGGGGACCCCCGCGCGGTCGAAGGCCCTATCCCACATGTCCGCCTCATCGTTGATCTCGCCTGGCGGCGGCTCCATGGGCGCCTGGCATATGGGATTGTATATGTCCGCCATATATTACATAGAGTATGTGTATGCATGTGCACACAACAATGTTATGTTGCATCTACAATCCCACGCCAAGCCCATGGACACGCCGCCAGATCTAGATCTAGCGGATCGGCGGACATGTATAATCCCCTCCCCACGTCGCCTGCAGCGGGCGGCCCTCGGCCGCGGGGCCAGCTGTGGCCCTCTGCCGCGCCGCCAGCTCGAGCCGAGCTGGTGTCGCGCAGCTGGCGGCGCGCGGGGCACGCGCGAGCTCCGCGCGAGGGGGGGGGGGAGGGGGGGGAGGAGGAGGAGGAGAAGGAGGAGGAGGAGGAGGAGGAGGAGGAGGAGGAGGGAGCGAGGGGGAGGAGGGAGGCGGTTTTTTTTGAGGGGGAGGGGGGGTGTCTGTCGATCGATATCGCGTTGGCTCGCGATCGGCAAGTCTGAAGCTCATTAATTCATTGGGGAACGTAGAATACACGACGTCAAGATCAGGAAGTAAAGCAAAAATTGGTACATGAAAAACAAAATTAGGACACCGCAGAATCGGAATCGAAAATCAACATCATTCCCAGAAATCAAGTCAAAAGCACCGTCACAATTAAATTGCAACCTTAAGAGGTCTGGGGTCCTCGTGTTTTTTCGCACGGTCCCCGGAAGTCCCGACCCTTCTTTGAAAGCCAGTTTTTCATCCCGAGTTGGTTTTTGTCGGTCCTGAGGCCCGGCGAGGGCCTCTGGGAGCCAAGAATTGCCAAACCCCGTCCGGGGTGTTTTTTTCTCGACGCGAGCATGTCCGGGAAAAGTCCGGCACAGCGCCCAGTCGCCACCCCACACGCGGTAGCCATGGGCCGCGGAGCCACAGGGCGCAAAACATGCGGTAGCCACGGGCCGCGGAGCCACGGGGCGCCAACGCGAGGGCCCCGAGGGGCCGGCCATCGGCCATGGGCAGCTGGATCGAAGGCCGAGACACCACCAGGCAGACAAGGTCGAAAGGGGGATCGACGACAGAATTGATTGACCTCATCCAACCGAATCTACGAAACAAATACGTACAATGTCCCGTAGATCCACTGACCTTTTGCGCGTTTCTTGCACATACGGCGGGATAATGAATTTGGGAGCAAATCAATTCTGTAGTGGATCCCCGATTCGAAAAGGGGGTCACACGACGCAGCCATGGGCCACGGGCAGGCCGAAAGTCACCGAAGAAGGGAGATTGCCATAGACAGAACTTTTCGGAGCTCCGCGCGGATTTCTCGGACCGGCGCTGGGCCCCCCCTGGCGGCGCCTCTGGTGCCGCCCCTGGGGCCATCCGCGCGCCAGGGCGGGGGTTCAGCGTCAAGCGGCCGTCTCCCCTGTTCTTTTCTTCCCGACGGCACTGCCCGACTTGTTGGCGAGTCGCCGCGCCGTTACGACCGAAACGTGTGTGTGTGTGTGTGTGTGTGTTCGTGTGTGTGTGTGTGTGTGTGTTCGTGTGCGCGTGTCTGGGCCTGAGTGCGGTGGACGGCGTATGGGTGGATGGGCGAGTCTGCATGTGAGTGAATCTGGACATATGTGGGTCTGGCTTGTAAGCGAATTTGAATACGAGTGAGGGCGCGTGTGAGTGACTCTCAGCAGGGAGTGGTCTGAGTAATGTCGGGTTAGCGTATGAGTGGATGTGAGTGAAGGATGTGGTACGGAGTGAGGGAGGTGGATGCACGGATACAAGGATGACCACGCGCGTAGAATATGATGAAAGCGCGTCACGGGATTTGCGTGTGTTTGGGCTTCCCAGGTGATACATTGGAGGGCTTCATCGAAGGATTGGGCGAACAGTTCCAGGCCAGCGCCAAGCTGGTGGCGGCAAAGGCTGCGGGGGAGGTCTGAGTACCGCGGCGGCTCGCTAGGGCTCTCCATAATAGTTGGGCCCCCTCATGCGTCGCGTTGCTCCCTCCTTCGCTTGTTTCTCCCAGGTGGATGGGGCGAGAAACTGAAAGCGTAAACCTCTGAAGAGCTCCTGGATGTTTCGAAGGTGATCGGCTCAGGCAGCTGCACCTCGCGTGGAGCTGAATGCACGCCGTTTATTTCTCGCTACCTCCTTGATCCCAGGACAAAGGATCCTCATATCGAATGTGGAGTAATACCGTTGCCACCATGTAACCACCCTCCTCGTCATTATCGCTCCGTTCGTTCCAGTCTACATTCTTGCTTGCCTGATCTTCAGCTCTCATCTTCAATCATTAATCGCCAACAGTTGTTACTCCCACCGTCGTATCCACTGAATTCTCACATTCGCTCTTATCTTCAGCGGCACTTGCACCATCACTCCTTCAATTCCCATCCTCACCTGCACTCGCCATCTTCACTCTGCATCGTCTTCGCTCTCGCCCACGGGCAGACCACGCAGCACAGAGGTGACGTGCCCACCCCCCCGACGGACTCCCGCCGAAGAGTTCGAGTCCGAGCGGCCTTCGGCCTACCCTGGATATGCACTGGTGAAGAGGACCTACAACATTCTTCACCTGTTAGGCTGACTTCTACGACCCCCCCCCCCGCGCCCCCTATTTACTATTGGCGGTCTGCGACGCGATGTGTCGATCTGTCGACTGGCGATGCCAATCAACGTTGAATCAGGGGCATGGGTGGCGCGTTGAAGTTCGCGCCGGCATGCTGGTCGTGCGGGCGGTGCAGGATTTTACTGACCAGCCGTCCCGCTCTCCGTCTGGGGGTTGCTACAGGTGCCCCTGGCCCAAGGTGCCCCCAGCTTTTCGCTCAATCTTGGGGTCCATGGTGCCCTCTGGGCCTCGTGAAGGGTGCTCTGGAGGCCGTGGGGGCCTCCCTGGGAATCCTGGGGGCATCTTGGGACAGGGTCACTTCTATCACCGAGCGTGTTCCACTACTCGCAAAGTGCCTATTCGCAAACGTCCTAACACACACACATGTTTGCCTCCGTGTGATTTGTCGTAAACTCCCCTCGGCGGATTCCAGGCCATCTGCGAGAAGTTACTTTGCGAGTGGTGGAACGCGTTTGCCGATACTAGCAACACCCGGTCCGTGCTTCTCCAACGTGCCCCCCAGGGGCCCCCGAGGGCTCAAACGCTTGCGTGCTCGGAGAGCCCCCCAGCTCCGCGAGCTCGTGCAACCTGCGCAGGGCCCCGGCCCGCGTCCCCGCAGACGTCAAGGATCGTCCCCGAGGAGTCCCCGCCGGGGGGCTCCGAGACTCCGAGCGGCTCCAGCACTGGGCCTCTCAGGTGAGCGACGCAAAACACTGTATCGTCTGCGCCCAGTGAGCGTTTTTCTCCTCCCCAGGATCGCGCTCGCTACCCGGGCCAAGCCCCCCCCCCGGGCAACGCTAACGATCGTACTGCGGGAGGGGGGGCCTGGACCCCCCTCCTACATGTTGTGGTGCACGCAGGCGATTGATTCGCCAGTAGCGCAGACGCACCCTGGCGGGTGCACGCCGTGGCCCCCGTCACCGGTAGTTATCCTCCCGCCCGGCCCGCCCCCCCTCCCCCTGGGTAACGACCGTTACCGCGGGAAGAAAAAACACGGTCACGGGTATGATTGATTTTTGTGCTGTGGGATCGCGCCGCATCGCCGAGGCATCTGCGATGCGGCTCGATGCGGAGCCCGGGCTCTCCACGCCGACGTCGCGGACCCCGTCCAGGAGGCCTCTAAGGGCAGATTCGTGTCGTGTCGACGCGGCGGCGATCCCGCCGCGGGCGTTCAAGGTTGAACGCCGCCAGCGGCCTAGAATCCGCCAATATGGAACGATCTGGCGATTCGGAAGGCTGCGAAGCGCTCAAGGTTGCACGATCCACGTCGTGTCAGAAACCAACGCGGGGGTCGTCTCGACACGAACCTGCCGTATCGGCCTGCCCCGTGAGAGCACAGGTGGAGTTGGCTTCCTGCTCTCCGTGTGCCTCTCCTTCGTCCCTGGGTGGCCTCGAAGGGTCCCCGCAGATGGGCTCGAGGCCGAGCGGCTGTCGGCCTGCCCTGTGAGCACACAGCCGATCTGCAGAAATACTGGCCGCTGAGTGATCCGGTTTTCGGGCCGTTCCCAGTTCCCTGGATCTGGGTGGCGGAGCTCTCTCGTGGCCGAGGCTCGCCGTGACCGGAAGGGCGCCCTCGTTCCTCGTTTGGCGTTCCGTATGGTATCACGGTGACTGTGCAGGTGGGGTGGATGTCCCGGTCTCATTTGTCTTTCGAGCTTGTCATTGCGAGGCCACTAGGTATCTGCTCCGAGCGCACACGAGTCTGGCCTCCAAAACAAGCAAACCGCTCGAGATATCCTCGCAATCTGGCCCCCACGGGAAGCGAGCATGAGCGCCTCGCTCGAGACATCCTCCAAATATGCTCCGAAAGCGGAGGATGCTGAGCATGCAAGCACGCTAACCGCTCGGGGTGTAGGGCTGAGGGCTTAGGGCTTAGGCCTCAGGGCTTAGGATTTAGGACTGAGGGCCAAGGGCTTAGTGTTTCCAGGGCTTAGGGTCAGGGCTTAGGCCTTAGGCCTTAGGCCTTAGGCCTTAGGGTCCAGGTCTTAGGGTTTTGGGCTTAGGGGCCAGGGCTTAGGCCTCAGGGCTTAGGGCTCAGGACTTCGGACTTAGGGCTTAGGGCTCAGGCATCAGCTGTCAAGAGACAGGTGGAATGGTTCTCCTGCCCTCCGTGTAATATCGTTCGTCCCCGAGTGGGCTCCGAAGGGTTCAAATCCGAGCGGTATGCCCAGGACAAACATGGGGGGGAGTGAAATTCTTGCCCGTTTCCTCGCTACGCCTCTCCCTCCTCCGAACTGCCCCCCTCCTTCTCATACTCCTTCCTCTTCCTCTCCTCACTGCTCCCATCACATTCCTCCTCCTCCTCTTCTCCCTCCTCTTTCTCCCGACTCCTCCTCACTCCACGTCTTCGTTGTCTGTTCCTCCTTTTCTTACTCCCCCCGCCTGCTTTCTCGTCCTGCTCCCTATTTCTTACCTCTCACATCCAGCCCTCCCCCCTTTGCCTCGTCCTCTTCCTTGTCTTCATCACTTCGTCTCCTTTTATGTATCGCCAGAGTCCCTCGTTTTTCAAGAGGCTCAGGCCACTCCGCTGACCCCTAAACGAGGATCTGTGTGACTTACGATGTTGTATGTGGTGTTTGCCGCTTCCTCTCGCGCTGCCTGCGTGTAGGTGTTGTTGATTCGTCTTTTTTTTTTCCTCCGCTGCTGTTGCGTGGATTCTTGCGGCCCTTTGGAGGCCCCAGGGGCGACCTCATTGGGAGACGTATGAGGGCTCTTGGGATCTGTTTGGAACCTTCTGGGGGGACTTTTCGGAGCCTCTAGGCTTCCCTGGGGGCCTTTGGGCTGTCTTGGGCTGGTGTGGTGGGTGGGGGCACGAACTCGTCAATGCATCCCTGGGGCCGTCTAGGAAGTGCCGCTGGGACGCAGAATCAGATGGTACATTGTATAATTGGGTCCGCGATGAGGGGGAGGATCGATCCTAGAGAAAGTTAATATAACTCCATCCATGCCGTCGCCCGCCGACGCCGCCGTCGTAATTTGCTGCCGTGGGCCATTGACTTATGCCGAACGTTTTTTGTGTTTGTTGCTTCAAGATGAAACGGTTCGCGCGCGCGCCCTCTCCTCTTCCCGGGTGTGGCGCCTTCGCGCACGCACATATCGACTACAGTAGATTCGTTTACCGGATATTGTTAGTCAGACGTGTCATCGGTCAAGGTTCCAGCCATTGAGAATGGAGACCAAGTGTCTATAGTACAACAAGGTCATCTACCAATCAATAGGTCAAAATATTAGGGCCCTTTGGCCAAGAAGTTGTTATCAGCTGCCGAGCGTCTTGATGTTGTTCACATCGACGACTTGGCTAGTCAGCCGCGCCGCGGTACACAATCCATGATGCCAATAGAGTTTCCTTTGATACACATGCCGAATCATGATCCCCTTCATACAACAAGATAAGACCGACTTGAGGGAATTGGACGTTGATCGAGAGTTATCCGCGCTCATCGATTCAGAGATCAGCTTGTTGAACTCATCATTGAAAGCAGAATCCCGCAATGCTGCGAGCCAGGCGATCGGTTTGAACGGTGGTTTAGCTAACGATCGCGGCATGGTGTTAGCAGAGTGCGTCGGTATGCCGGGGTTTGGTTCAACCATCCCTCAGGTATCCCGGTCGCAGGCTTTTGGGAGAGCAGAGTTTGAGGGAATCTTTCGGTCACCGGTTGAAGTACTGAGCCCCCGAGAGTCAGATACGATAGAACATCTGAGGGACCCATTTGGGGATATTCCGTTCCCAGAAAAACCGAAATGACTATGTGACAACAGTATAGAGGCATATGATTCGCTAGTGCAAACTACTGATTCAACCGGGGGCCATGCAGCGGTGTCCCATTACCCCGTCAGTTTCGAGGCTGCAGGGTTTATTTGACCGGTTCAACCCGTCAAGCCCAGGGCGTGGAAAAGTGAGAGTGTATATATATACATGCATATATATATATATGTAAATATGTGTACATATATGTATATATACATACATATATATGTGTATATATACATATATATATATATATATATGTATGCATATATATATATATATATATATATATATATATGCTGGCGGAAGGGAATCGGGGCCGCCAGGCCGGTACCTGCGCCCCCCATGGCCGCCCCGGGGCTCCGGGAACGCTCCTGTCCGGGCCAAGAGGCGGCCAAGACGTGCCCAGGGAGGCGCAAGTGGCTCCCAAACCGGTCCTAGACGGCCCCGGGGCGCTCAAAGATCGCCCCTGGACGCTCAAGATGGCTCCCATAGGGCCCAAGAAGCCGCTACAACGCCCCAAGCTGCTTTCCAAGGGAGCCCCAAGCAGCCAAAATTATTGATTTTGCATGGGAAAACGTGCATGTTTAGCATCAGCGCCTTTTCGGTCTTCACGGCGCCCCAAGAGGCTCCCAAATCGGTCCAAGACGGCCCCAGGGCTCTTAAAGATCGCCCCATGGGCACCCAAGATGGCCCCCATAGAGCCCAAGAGGCCGCTACGACGCCCCAAGAAGCTTTCCAAGGGAGCCCCAAGCGGCCCAAATCATTGATTTTGCATTAGAAAACATACATCTTCAGCACCTACGACTTTTCGGTCTTCACGGCGCGCACGACGGTACAAGAGGCCCCAAAGACGGCCCCAAGAGGCTACCAGCACGGCCAAAGACAGCCCGAGAGGCGGCCAAGGCGTGGCCAGAGGGCCCCATAAGGCTCCCAAAGCGTTCCACGGCGGCCCCGGAGCGCTCAAAGCTAGCCCTTGGACGCCCAAGACGGTTCTCACAGTGCCCAAGAGACCGCGAGAACGCCCCAAGAGGCTTCCCAAAAGGGTCCCCGGAGGCCAAACTCATTGATTTTGCATTGGAAACGTATATTTTTAGCATATACGACATGTCGGTCTTCGCAGCGATGACGACGGTACAAAAGGCCCCCAAGAGAGTCCCAAAACGGCCCAAGAGGCTCCGAAGACGTCCCGAGAGGGGGCCAAGACACCCAAGAGGTCCCCAATGCGACCTAGGAGAGCTCCAAAACGGCTCCAAGAGGAGCCCAAGAGGGGGAGCCCGACCCGAAAATCCGACCCTTCCGCCCCAAGAAGGCCCCAGGAGGCCCCTGGAGGCCCCTAAGAGGCTCCAAGAGGCCCCCAAGAGATCCCCCAATAGGCCAAACCCAGCGGGGGCTTACGGAGGGGAAGATCCCCCAAAGAGGCCCCTAAGAGACTCCAAGAACCCCCCCGCGGCCCGCCCCCCGCGCAGGGACGGCGACGACCTCGACGGCGACGGCGGCGGCGCCGCCGTCGTCGTCGTCGTCGCCCTTGCCGTCGTCAGCGCCGCCGCCGTCGTCGTCATCATCGTCGCCGCCGTCGTCGTCGTCGCCTCCGCCGTCGTCGCGCTCGTCGTCGCAGGCGCCAGTCGAGGACCGATCGATCGAGGATCGAGGTTCGACGAGGTCTTTCGGTTTTCAGCCCCAGGGGGTCTTTTTGAGCGGACTTTAGTCGATCAGAGAGCAGCGCGAACGACAATGACGCTAATCAAGCAGCCCGAGCGCTAAGGACGAGCTCTAAGGACGAGCTCTGTTATGTTTGTTCGAGTCTTCCGTCGACTTTTTTTTTATTTTCTCCGGACGCGGTTCGACGAAGTTTGGCTCGAGTTGTCCTTGACCTCGGCTAGAATCAAAAAGCGCGCGAAGCGCGCGATGATTCTAGTATATGTGTGTATATATATATACTCCTCCCCCAAGATCCCCGATCCCCGTCAGCAGAGGCAAACTCGGACATCCTTAAATGGATCGCACTAGATCAAGGAGCAGTCGCGGTTCCACCGGCCTTTTTTGACGACCGTCCTCTAGCATGTTTTTTGTTCACCGCCCGACAGGTTGGGGTCGTTAGGTGTCAAGAACAGACCCCCCGACCCAGCCGCTGTGCACACCGCGGGAACCAACTCCTCAGGTTCCCGACCCAAAATCCCACTTCGCACCGTTCTGCATACTGCGGCCGCCAGATCCCGGGGCCCCCGAGTGCCCCCGAAACCCTCGCCCCGCGCCCTTCTGCACACCGCGGCCGCCAGATCCCCAGGTCCCCCGAGTATCCCCGAAAGCCCCGCTCCGCGCGTAAAAACCATAACATGACAGCGGTGGTAAATGGTAGGGGGAACCCGCGCAGCACAACACCGTAAACTATGACAGCGCAGAACGCACCGGCACACCACATAACATAACATGTCCGAGCGTAAACATACCAAATCATGACATGCCTTGTCGCGTCATGGCACACCATGGCAAATCCGTGCATACTATAACACAGCATCACAGCGCAGAGGACCGTCCATCATGGCACAGCAATCGTACCACATGAAAACATCGTTGGCCGGAGCACGCCCAAACCGGACATGCCACAGCTTCGCAACGCATGGCATGTCATGGTATAGCACGTCATCGCGGCACATACAACGCCACACACAACACAGCAACACATATGACATATCATCGCATGACAGGGCGCGGCATATGACGCGACATCATACCAGAGCAGCGCATAGCATACCATTATATTCTATGACATAAAAGGTCACGCATAACGTGTCACTACACCACGCGTCATGTCATGCCATATCATATTATACCATAGCAGACGAAGGTATAACATCTCATATTACCACACAGTGACATAACACGGCGCACCGTAGCACACCATCAAAACACATACCATTCCAAACAACGACAATTCATACCATGACGTAGCGCGACAAACATTATATCTTCACATACCAATGTAGCAGGCCACCATAACATAACAGCGCGTACCAATTCAGAGCATGCCATAGCGGCGCGTAAGAGGACACGGCAGAGGAAAAAATCATGCAATGGCTTCATGAAGCAATCAGAGCATAACAACACCTCATATGTCAGAGCACCCGAAGCCAGGGCACGCCATAGCATAGCGTAGTATGACATATCATACCATTACACACCATGGCGTACCACATTACAACAGAACACATATTCACAGGCTCACAGAGTTTCATAACATGACAAAGCATTGCGAGGCCAGGCTGGCCACAGGACCGAACAGGCGCAAGGACGAATGATCGGACGACGTATCTAGCGCGACAGGCGCCGCGGCGTCACGGTCGCCCGCCGGGAACAAAACACGCACAATAGAGCACAGTGCCATCGAACATTATGAAATCTGAATCATATAACGAATGCACCGCACCGTAACCAGCATACCAAGGCATAATTATTAGTTTAACGCTACCCCCGCGGCAACGATATCGATATACCATGATTTGTTAGAACGCCATGTCGCATAGAATAACGAACTGATCACACCCTAAGCCACATCAGAGTTAATGGCGTAAGCATAACCGATCCGATGTCACCACGCGGTGCCACAGGGCATGTCACATCATGCCATGCCAACTCGCACGATGACAGAGTTGATCATAACAGAGCATACGCGAACTGAAAGGACACATACAGTCGAATAATAACATCATGACATACTAGGCCGTACCAACGAAGAATCAATCGCGAGGTGCGCGCCGAAG